TTCAGCTTGACGTGCTGTGCACAATGACTACTGCTTGGGTGGCCGAGCGGTATCGGCCGGCAATCATCCCTCAAGGATCTTTAAAGATCGTCACGCCGCTTCTGTCTACAGTTCAATCAGACTGTAACGTGAAAAAATTGACAGTAAACGCAGAACGCCATGGGTACATGGCATGATTACGTGTGCGGGATGCTGTCATGCGCAACAGAAGTGTGCCACACTGGAACCATCCTGCAGAAGGTTTGTTCACTACGCGGGGAAGGGGGCGCGCAGGCATATGTTAGGTGTCGACTCTCGACGCCTATAATTAGGACCGGAATCCGACTACACATGTGCGGTCATGTGCGCTTAAATAATTACCTATACTATCTTGGGGTTTCCTTATCCTGGATTATACCTACAGTAAATTATAATGATAGTATAAGGGGATGTAGATAGGTGGGTCTATCAGCGGCAAGGCGCAGGGCATCGATTGCGGGAAGTGCCCCAGCAAACGGCTCGCATTCCTGCAGCCTTCAGACACTCGCTGCGGGCTCGGCTTTGTCTGCTCAGGGTTTTGGGTTTATAGGGTTTAGGGTTCAGGGCTTCGTGCTTAAAAAGGGTTTAGGTGGCATTCAGAATCCGTTTCACCGTTTTGTACCTGTACGCCTCGTCGGTTCGTCCCGCAAGAGATGCTGCCAAAGTCCTGTGACCAGCTCTATCACTGAACCCCAGCGTGATTTCACTATCATTGTTCATGTTTCGCGGCACTTGGTCTCCACAGGAGCCCACACATCGGAAACTCTATGTACTCAGCACAGAATGGTAGTCCAAATGACACAGCAGATCGAAAATTCGTTTCTTGGCATTCTGTGCCCGTCGTGCCACAGCATGGCCAGTACTGGCTGCTACGATACATGCACAATGAAAGCTACACAGGACAGAGGTGGTCGGAAACAGTCCTTCAGGAGGAAGCTGGGAGCGAAAGAGAAGCTGGAATATAGCAGCAGTGCAGAGGAAGCCGAGAGGACCCATGCAGGAAAGACGGCAAGGATGACGGAGGACTGTCCGATGTTCTGCTGGGCAAAAGAAGACTGGTCACCAGAAGGAGTTCCAAGAAATATGCTGCGCAAGGTCGGGAATCCGAATCCGAGCTCACGTGCGAGGCCGGTGGTTTTGAGAGAATATCCGCGACCTTTCCTGGGCCAGGCGGTTTCTGCCAGTGTCGTTAAGGGGCGTGTTGTACATCAAGTTACAGCGACAAGGTGGTAGGTGACGAAGCCATTCATATTGACTTTCAACAGCCTTGCACATCATCCCAAGTCCTAACTCTGGGCAAAAAACTCTGGGTGTACTGACTCCGATCTCCACCGCCAGGTGGCTTCTGGCCACTGCCTGCTGAAGGGGGAACCGATTTCTGATGTCTTCGCGTGGGACTTCAAGCCTTAACTTGGCTTTCATTATGCGAGTCTTTCCTACAGCGAGGTCATCAATCGATAGCTTACCTTCGATTCGGGGCGCGGGTCTCATCTATGACGCTATAATCCGGGACATATTGCTGTATTCAACCACTCCCCGCTTTTGATATTTATAGCTTCTCCCAACAGAAACTTTATTGCATCATGGCGCACGGACCGCAGATGCGGCAGCCTGGCTTTCTAGAAAAAGAACTCTGCCTGAAGCCAAACGAAGAGTTTCAGGGGCATAGGACCCAAAGGAGTCTTTGTGCAAATGCTGAGGCTGCAAGGGAAGAGAGGTAGTCACAGGCCGAAACATCATGCCATGAGGCCGTTTGGCTCCAAGCACAAAACCAACATAAACATGTAGCCATACTATGCAGGTAGTTACTCGACAGCACTCGGAGCTCCGATGCTTAGCTGCATGGACAGTTGCGTAGAACCCCCTTGCTAGAAATGTAGGTATTTGATCCGACTAAGCCGTCGCAGTTACTCAGAAATTTGCATGGACCAGCTCAGGAGTGGGACTGCAAGCGGGTAGCCAATACTAATTAGCCAGTCATAGCCAGTCTAACTTGTAACCCCGGCCACAGACTGTTCGTTCGCACCTGATGGGCAACGCCTCGTGCGTCGATCGCCTTGCTGAATGTCCGGGCTCCCGCCGCGAGACCCCGCCCTTCCTGGCCCCGAGCCGTGGAAGCATAACCTTTCGATATTTTGACTTGAGTGAAAGCTACTCGAAAAATGCCCTTTAAGCATCTATCACAACTGGCTCAAGTTCCGGATGTGTTCCGGACAACACGGAGACATTCTTGTGACCGAGCCCCGAAAACAGGAGAGCCCGTTGAGTTGCCTGAACCTCTAGGATGCTGGGCCCCTGCCAAGTGCCGAAGCGCATGCAAGTGGTGGCAGCTGCTCACGCAACCAGGAACAATGCGGAAGCTGCCTACGTGTTCGACTTTTCAGAGAACACGCCGCTGTGGGTAGGCACCATGCCGGATATATCGGCACAGGAGGGGAGAGGAGTGAAGTGCCAATGTTAGCTTCCGTGCTTGAACTTTCGAGCCAGGTATCCGTACACAAGCAGGGCTCATTTCTGGTCCTTCGTGGCTTTCGATTCGAGCTCCACCTTTCACCGCTGCATCCAGGTGCCACGCAGCCCCTCCAGCCGAACTTGGGCCACTTGACCGTGAAGAGCGGGACAGTTTTCTTGAGATTGAAGGAATCGGGTTGCGATGCCCAAGCTCCAAGTCTCGCATGTAGCAGGGTCCCAGTCCGCTATTGTTCCCGGCCAAGTCTGTGGTCGAGGCTACCCGCTGCGCGAGAGCGAAGGGCAGACTTCGAAGCCCTTCGGCTAAATGCAAGTCTCTGACGTGAGCCCCATTCAGAATTCAATCTCCATTTTCGTGTAAACTAAACATATATTCACACTTTGTGTATGCAATAGTGCTTACGAGCAAGGGGTTGACATCTCCACGACGAGTGCTGACAGAGAAGAGCGATGGGGACCGCTTCGAAAAGTGTAGGAGTTTGCAGTTCCGAGACGGGGGCCTTTGGTGCAATCCATTGACTTGGCTTTTGCCTCACCTTTCAACCTCGCCCCCTTGCCTCCAAAGTCCCAGATTGAGTGATCTTTGTCTCATCCAAAAAGGTGTGAGCTGCTCCGCCAAGGCAGGTGTTTCTGGGTGATCCGGTCCTCAGGTCGTGAGTGGATCAGTAGCAGCGGTAGCGTTGGTGACATCAGCTTTTTGAACCACCCATGCAACCTCCAGTCCATTTTAATTCGCGCAAACTCTACGTCGATTTCTTTGACTACAGTTGGCAGATGTTGGCAGCAAGATGGGTGCATCACTTGTGGGAGTGTCAGTGACGATCCCCAGGTGGCCATGCCCCAAGCCTAAAGACTTGCTACAGCGGCCGCGTTTTCGTTCGCTGTGGTGATGATCTCTTCTCAGCAGAGGCGCAGCCAGCAGCGTTTCTTGAACCTCCGTTCGCAGGGGAGCAGGAACCCTAGGCACGATGATAGTTGATTCTCCCCGATGCTCTTCCAGACGCTTAAGCTCGACGTGCTGTTATTCAAGTTAACCCCGAAACCCTGAGGGCGGGCCGAGTCGCTGCACGGCTTTTCGTTTGTGCACACGCGCCCTGCAGTTGGAGGACGTTGGAACTTCCGTAGATTTCTAGATTAGTCTGGGTTGTGAAGCCTGGACCGGTGATGTGGGGTGTTAGACGGGCTTGGATGGCGCAGACTACTCGTAGACGGGCTTGGATGGTGAAGACCACTCACTTCAGGGCCTCAATGCATTGACATCGAACTTCATTTCCTTTCGGAGAACCGAAAGTTATCCTCGAGGATGGGTTTCGAAAGTGCTGCCACATCTTTGCAGGACACTCTGTGCGGTGTGAACTTCACTCTGGAGCTGCAAAGCTCATCTCCGGGATTTTTCCTGTGCCCATGTGCCCATGATGGCAATCATGAGGGGGGTGGGGGTCGGATGCATGGTAGCTGACTTTGGATGGCGAAGGCTATGCCGCATGAGCAGCAGGAAGGGATGCAGCTTTGAGTAGCATCGTTGGCTGCTTTGTGCTGCAAAGGCATTTCTCTGCAGCTGACAAATGGCGAGGTGGCAGTCCTGCAAGAAAGCATATCTCGCGGTTTATGCCTGGATACAGCCATGAGATCCGAAGCGCATGTCACGGGCCTGCCGCCCTGCCCCGTCCTGTATGGAAATGTCTTGAAGCTCACTTGGCAGCGCAAGAATTCTTGCCACATCTCTGTATATCACTGAGACTCGCCCAGACTGTCGGCAGTGCTAATTACCCAACAGAGCATGCAGATGCCAGCCCCACATGTCACCAACCATCCTTGTGACTTGAATTGTTAGACAATCTGCACTCGGATTCCGAAACTTCAGCTGCTCTGCAGCTTTCACAAGCCTTGCCATCGCCCACTTTTGGATTGTCGTCGTCATGCGATACATATGCTTGCACTTGTTCGCATTGTTGATCACTAGGCGTGTAAAACTTTACAATAACAACTTCGTTGTGTGGATCTGGAACCTTAGATTTAGTCAGAATGGTGGTGATAGCAGTGCGCCTCATTTTGTAGCTCCTTGTTCACCTCGGAGGTGGGCCTCGTCGGAGATCGATTCGGTCCTGTTCAGCCTCCACAAGACTTCCTCCTGGACTTTTCCATCTTGGACATAGGCCCATAGACCTTAGCAGGGTTTTAGTTGCAGGCTTCAGGTTTGGGTATGGTGTGGGGAGAGTTTAGCAGCTGCTGCCAAGCCCTCAACAAGGAAACCGTTTGTTGACCAGACTCTTCGTGCGTAGGACTACGTAACATCTAGGACAGAAGCCCGAGCGAGCACCTTGTGCTGGCTGGATTGTTGCTATCACTCACCGTGTTCCGGTTCCAGACTTCGGATGCACCAACGCCAGAGTCCCTGGGACCACGAGACGAACCCACCTGACTGTCCCAAAATTCGCCCTGAGACTTCAGTCCATGAAATGTTTCAATTCCTAGCACAATCTCCGTCACCTCGAGGTGGCCAGGATGTGCAGATGGACCCTTGGCAGCATGCCCATCTTGGCACAATTTCCCGTGCCCTTCTTGAACTTCTTGTCGGGTCGAGGGCCGGTGCCCTAGAAGCTTGGATTTTGGCTTTGCCAGTCTTGAGAGCGAATGACGACGCTATGCCGGTTCCGGAATTCTGAAGTCCAAGACGTTACAAAACTTTCCATGCGTACCTTCAGACTCAACGTAAACCGATAACAACCAATCGAAGGCCGTCATGTCCTTTTCGAATAGACGCGAATTCATTTCGTGGCAGGATCACAAGTTGGAAGAGGTTGCACAAATTCTGCGGCATAGTGTGAGAGGAGAGTTCGATCTCTGTGAGATACCTGCACGCCGTACCGTTTTGGGTTTCGGGGTTAAGTGGAAAGTGTGGTGATAAATATCCGCACATGCCCCCTGGGCATGGCTGCCGGCATACGCTCAAAGTCCGTGCTTAAAAAGGTCTTACGTGGAAAGTTGCAGTGCGGCACCTCGAATCTGCAGTGCAAGACCAGCTTGGGCAGAAGAGATTGCACATTCAGCTACAGAACCGATCCTCGCTCGGATTCCTGTACCTTCCCGCCAAACGAAGCAAACTCAATACATGAAGTCCCGATACTTGGGGTGTGGGAGTGTCATGTTCAAGGACGTCATCCTTCGCGGGCTCACGGAAAACGTCATCCCGGGATCTCAGGCGCAGTTCGCTTTGCGTCTCTTTGTACCACAACAGTTTCAGGCGTTCGGGATCGGGATCCGGACAGTTTTCGCCCCTGATTTCGTGAGAGCTGACGCCAACGAGCTGTTTATGTGAGAAGTTCCAGATCAGCTCGTAGGTCGCTCTCAACCGGCACGGGGCGTGGACACTCCGCACCCGCCGCTGAGCTTGAGTTTTGCTTCTTTGTCATTCTGCAGTGGTCTCATGTAACCCTAAACCCTGGACTTCGCACTTTGACTTTCTTGCAGATTGTCTGTAGCGGTTGCCTTCCGTCCACACGACGCCATGGAAGCATTGCTGGGAACAACGCTGTTGCATGGAACGGCGCAGGTGGCGACTTCGTCACTGCAGGGAGGGGTCGTAGCCCTCTACTTTTCCGCTGGATGGTGCCCTCCGTGCAAAGGGTTCACTCCTCAATTCCGCAAAGTGTACGAGCACGCAAAATCGAAGAATCGGGCCTTCGACGTCGTTTTTGTATCCGGTGATCGTGACGAGACCTCTTTTCGGGAGTACTTCGGCAAAATGCCGTGGCATGCATTGCCCTTTGCGGACCGCCAACGTCAACAGCAGCTCTCTGCAAAGTTCGGTATCCGTGGAATTCCTTCGGTTGTCCTGCTCAGTTCGTCTGGGCAGCTTTTGGATGCCAGCGCGAGAGGCAAGGTGATGGAGTCTGGGTTCGTCCTGTCCCTGCCACGCTGCATCGACTTGGCGTCGGCGGCGCTGTCTGAACCGTCGGGCGCCGTACAATTGCAGCTGCGATACAAAGGCTGCGAGTATGACATCGAATGTGAGCCCAGTGAAGGCTGGGAAATGCTGCGCATGCAGATCTACTCCATGATTGACGTGCCAGCCGAGCAGCTGAAGCTGTTTGGGCTGGGACTTGATAAAGGTCAACTGGATGAGTCCATCCCTCTACCGCAGGCCTTGGCGAGGGGCATTGCGGCCCAGAAGAATTCAGGTCTCCAACTGGCCAAGGTGCCATTGGAAGGAAGACGAGCCTCCTCGAGTCACGATGACGACAAGCCAGGGCAAAGGCATCACACAGGAACCTTGGACTCAGCCAGCGCTTGGTGTTCCAAGCGCGATGACTGCAGCCCCTGGTACCAACTGGACCTAGGGGAGGTCGGAAATGTTGCGGGAGTGGTTTTGGCCTCGCGCGTGGATTGTGGCCAATGGGTCACAAGGTTCCGGGTTGAGCTGGCCGATTCTGAGGATGGACCCTGGACTTCGGCTGACGATGGCAGGGAGTTCGATGGGCCAGGCTACGCACTCCCTGTGCGTGCGGTCTTTCAAAACGGCTCACAGCTTGCCCGCTTCGTTCGAATACTGCCACTAAGTCACCGGAACCATTGCTCTCTCCGCGCAGATTTGCTGCTGGCTACAGGAGAGCCGGACAAGCCGCCTGTAATTGTCGCCCTGGGAAACTTCAGTGAGGGAGACCCCTTCGAATCTGAGACGCCCGAGGTGCCAATGGACACCATGATGGAGGAGCAGCACCTGGCGATGTTGCAGGCCAAGCTGAGCTCGCTGCCACCCAAACTCCAAAATCAGGTCGGATCCCTGGCCACAGTGCAGGGATATGAGAAGAAGCCGCTACAGCGACAGGCGCTGGACGAGATTCCTGTCCTTGCCCTCGATGCCGCCGTGGATCCAAGCGAGAGCTACGAGATCTCCTTCATGAGGATGCTGGTGCGTTGGTTTAAGCACGAGTTCTTCAGCTGGACGAATGCACCCAGGTGCGAGCACTGCGGCTCAACCGAAACAAAAACAGTGGGTCGTGCCGAGCCCACCCCCGAGGAGAAGCACTTCAAGGCCAACACTGTCGAAGTGGCAGCATGTTCGAAGTGCGGCGGCCAAACGCGATTTCCTCGCTACAACGATCCAGCAAAGTTGCTTCAGACCCGAACCGGGCGTTGTGGTGAGTGGGCCAACTGCTTTACGCTCGTGTGCCGTTCCCTAGGCTACGAAGCTCGACATGTGCATGACTGGACAGACCATGTTTGGACCGAAGTCTTCTCGGACTCCAAGCAAAGGTGGTTGCATGTCGATTCTTGTGAAGCGGCACTGGACTCCCCTCTCATGTACGAGAAGGGCTGGGGGAAGAAGCTGACATACTGCATTGGCTTCGCTCGAGATCACGTGGTGGATGTGACCAGGCGATATACGCAATGCTTCGAGGAGTTGCTCCCCCGGCGGACGCAGTGCTCAGAAGAGGAGTTGAAGAAAGCTGTGAGCGCGATCGACGAGTTCGCCTTGGATCGATCGTTAGTGCAGTATCCCGCGACTGTGGCTGCTGCTCGCCGCGCTCTGCTACTTGCGAGGGCTGATGCCGAAGCACAGGAGACAACGCACGTCGCCACACAGGCCGAGGAGGTCGGCCGCACCAGTGGAGATGCCTCCTGGCGCGCCCACCGAGGCGAACTTGGGGCCAACGATGCGGCAAAGAAGAAGGCCCTTGAGTGCTCGGAAACGGGCTTGGAACAAGCAGGCACATCACTCCCCTCGACGGGGTACAAAGGTGCACACGACGCGCAGGCAGCGCTACGGGCGAGGGTGGCCAAGTTGATGGCCACAGGGCTTTCGGCGAACGATGCCTTGTTGAAGGTGCTTGAGGAGGCGAAGCAGAAGGCTTCTTGAGTCTGTGTGATGCTCGGACGTGGGCAATGAGACGGCAGGCGGGCGTACTGGTTGTGCCAGTTATGAATGACAGCCGGTTGCAAGAAGGTATCTGCAAAGCCGATGATGAACCAGAGCAGCAACACCGGATCGGGTCTGCAGCGGCATGCATACTGAAGCGTGAACAGACAAGCAAGTGAGAAGTGTACCGCGAGAACCGAGACTGGTGCCTGAGTATGTTTCACTCCCAACATGTCTAAGCTCAGTTTAGACCAAATTGTCGTCACCATCCTGCCTTTGTGAGTATGTTATCTTGTTTGGTATCTAGTTCTCTATTGCGGTCTACAAAGAGGCAGATCTGTACCTTATGCAGTCAAAGCATTGCAGTCGAAGGCATCCGATGTACTGCGTGGCCCGCCTAACTTCTTGTTGTTTTTGTTTTTCGGCGATCGGATGCCCGTGTTGTATGGTCTAGCGTAGCCCTGGTTGCTGCGAACTTCCTTCAGTGAATTCAGGCCGGCAAGCTCAAATCTAGTTTTTGCTGTGCTTGCATGTAGATTTGAGTGAGCTGGCAATAGTACCGACGCGCACCGATAACCTCGTCTGGCAAGTCCGAGTTGCGAGAGCGTAAACCCTGGACTTCGCGCCTGAAAGTGTGTGAGCTTCGGAACCCGGCTTGTATATCAGGTTTGCAGGACTACACGACTTTCAACAACTCCCTGCCGCACAGCGCCGGCTTTTTGGGAGCCTCGGAGCTTTGGGCCGAAGGCCCTGGAGGCTCCGAGGGCTCGGGCGCCTACCTTCAGAACCTCGCCACGGGCTGAGGCTCTGCGATTCGTAGAGTCGTAGAGTTGTAGTTGTGCTTCGTGGTGAAGCTTCCAGGCGGTTTAGATGGGGATATTTTTTTGCGCAACGTTGCGACAATCTTCTCTTGACTTCAGAAGCTGCAGTCCTGAAATCTGCACTCAGAGCCCTCTCAAGGTTGTCAGCGAGGAGCCGGTGCTCACCGAACACCCACCTGCAGAGACCTTGGATTCCTTAGCAATCCTCTAATTGCATGTAGGAGGGCCTGTGGGAATACTGCGGATCTGAATCTTGCATCTGAAGCCAATGAGAGTAAACTAACTTCGGAGTTGTGAAAATAGCCCTGAGCGATGTTATGGTGTTCTTATGCTGGTGTGGTGGGAAAACAAACTTATGTCAGGGTTGACTGAATAATTAGTTGACTGTCATTCTTAGCTTGTGGCTAGAGCGGAGCTTCCGGAGGTTTCAGGTCTTCCGTGAGATCGCCCCACGAGCATCAAGAGGTCCTGAGAGAAATCTGTAGGACCAGAACCGAAATCTCGAACTTGATTCTGCATCCCTCCTAGGTCTCTTTCAAGTGGTGGGCGAAGCTGGACGAGTGCCCGGGTTTGCACATGCTATCACATACTCCCTCCTTCTGCTACAGGCTCCAGCGTGTTGCACTCATGGACCAGCCTTCTCCCTGTAGGGCATCGGACTGGGGCCGACTTCTCTTTGAGGCGGGGCACGGGATACACTCAGTAAGGCCACTCCAGGGCAGTTGACTGCTGGAGTTTAGCTAGCTGCAACGAAGGCCACGTGTCTGAACATTCGCACGATGCCCCCAAAACTCTGCAGTCCCTTCCTCGACTTCTCGGTTCCAGCACCTGGTATCCTGACCAGCCTAACGATCGAACATCCATTGAAACAGGGCCTCGATGCGAGGAGCCTACTCCATGAGGCCGGAACTGCTTGTCCTCTTCCGCTGTCCGGAGTTGCAGTCCGAAGGGTTGGAGAAAGCTCTGTAGAGCTGTCGCATCTGTTTCTTGCACCTCCATGCCGCAGTCAAGTGCGCACCGAGCAGGCCAGTTTCGGCAGCGCGCCGCTGGTGGACTCTTGGCAAACTGGGCTTGTTCGGCAAGTGAATGGGGCGATGGCTGAACTTCTAGCTTGTTTGCTGGCTGAACTTACAAACGCAAGTCAGACTACTTGGAGACTCCGAAGCTTCCGCAGCTTCTCTGTCCGCAGGTTCTTGATTCTAGATGCTAGGTACTTCAGCATTTCAACTTGCGCGGCTCATCTTAACACAGTGTGTGTCTTACGCTTGAGAGATGTTGCCCCGTGGCTTCGCCCTCTCCTTACCTTTGGTTAGTAGGGAACGGAAGAATGGGGTACAATTGTAACTACTAGTGGTACCATCTTTCCATTCCCTACTAACCAGCAGTAAGTCTCTGTGAGATGAGGCCTCCAAAGCCGCAGACTTCTGGCACCACAAGGCCGTGAATGTGGGAGTTTCCGAAAATTAGGGATACCTCAATGTGGGAGTCCTTACAATGAGGATCCTACTATTTAGGGTGCTATATTAGGGTCCCCTATTTTCGGAAACTCCCATGTTGCCAGGCACTCACGAACCCAAATGTTTCCTGTGCCTGGCCAACCTCACTCCAACCGTCCTCATAGCTCCTCCGTCCCGACTCCTATCCAAGTTAGGAGTGCTGAAAGTCCGTGCGCAGGTCTACGACATGGCGGTCGGGCGTGTGTCTCCCAGGACGGACCCAGAGAAGCTGGCAGGTGAGTGCCTGGGATGGAAACCGCTCACTGAGCTTCTGAGAAGTAGGGAAGGCAGCGGCAAGGCTTGTCCAGAGGGCTACGCAGTTGCCAGGTGTGCATGTTGCCACTGTCTTGACAGAAGGCTGCACCACTGCCAATTTACGACGAAATTTCAAGCCTGATCGGAGACGATGACAACGGTGTCGGTGACGATACGTGTGACGATGATGATGGCGGCTGATGGATTCTCCACGACAGAAAAGAGGTTCCAGTTTAACGGGGCCTTTCTTCGATGACGAAGCCAAAGCCCAGAGACTGCATGCAAAACCCCATTGACAGAGGCCAAGAGGTGCCCCTGCGAAAGAAGCACGAAGATGTCAATGATGAGGGTGGTGGAGTTGGTGAAGTAGAGGTCAGGAATCACAAACATGAAGAACAAGAGAAGAGGAAACAGCAAAGTGGTTGCATGCGTCGTGATTTCGTCGTTAAAGTCGCCGTGGTATTTGGGCCCTCAAGCAGTCAAGCAGTTGAGGTTTTGGCTCTCCAAGCAGGCCATGAACGTCGAACCGATGTACTTGCACTGCCAGGCTGGAGAAGTGAGCTCAGCGAAGCATGTGCAGAGGCTCTCTCAGGAGCGCAGCGAAAACTATCTCGTCCAAGTACTAGTAGCACCTTTACTCAATCTCCCGCTTACCCAGCCAACATTCAAGACTCAATGCAGCTGCAGGGAACACTTGCTCAGGCGTTGGAGAGTTGCACCCGGGCTGCCTGAGGGGACTCACGCTGTCCGTGGTGGAGATTTTGGGGGGTATGGGACTATTGAGATTGTTTTGTAATTCATCCCACCGGTTTCGGACCTTCGGGGCATTCACGCATGTCTGTGTTAGTTGTATCATGGAGACGAAACCACCTGGAGCATCATGCTCGACGTCCGGTCTTCCGGTGTCGCTTCAAGAGGAGTTTCGAGGGTTCTATCCCCTTCAACCCCAAGACCTGTTCGACTCCGCGAAACATCACACGCACCAGGCCCTGCCGAACATCACAGGGGAACGATCATCTGGGTCCGAGTTGTGAGCCTCCCCGCCTGGCCCACTAACCTCCGAATCCTCATACTGTGAACTGTGTGGCCCAGGTATCATGCTTCGTTTCAGCTGTGCCCAAGATGTTCTCCAGTCTCTGCAGCTTGGTCGGGCCAGACCGGCCGCACCAATCCCCAGCCTCGTGGCCGAAATGCTGCCGATTCCTCTTTTGGCGAACGTACGGCAATGCGCTTGCAGAACGAGAGGTTGTCGGGCTGGGTCTGTGGGCAGGGCTCGGCCATGATGCTGTCGCTGAAGGGCTTGCTATACCTGTAGTCTCCATTGTAGTTCCTTCTTGGGGTTACCTTATTATAGGACCCTAATTATATGTTTGGTTAAACCAACAAAAGGAACTACAATGGAGACTATTTTAGGTAGTACTCAAGGGGGCTTGGGTCTCCCAGGTCGGTGCGATTTTGTGTGTGGAGATTCTCAGATTCACAGCTGTTCCAGGCAGAGGCGTCGTCTTCGGCATCGAGCAGGACGGATATAGGGACTGGATTGTTGGGGCTTCAAGTTATTGTAATGTTTGCCCTGTGAAAGACCTCTGAGCCCAAGACCCACGCAAAAAAAAGCCTATGTTAGCCTGGACGAAGGGCGGACGTAAATCGGAGCTCAAAAAAAAGCCTCTGCAGCCAGGACCCTCGCAATGCAAGGCTGGTGCGGATGTTCATTGAGTATCGCAACGAGATCGTTGCAGATATGGTGCCTTACCGCAATTTCGAAGTGCAGCCACCAGCCAGTCCGCATGATCAGTTCACTGCTGCAGTGCTTCCCTTTCACTTTAACGGATGGTAGACGCGCTAGGCACCTGCCAGCCGGGAGTCGTCACCGAATTTGCGTGACGATTGGATTCGGGTTTAAGGCCCTTCGAAGGAGCATCGAGTGTCCGCCCGGCATTAAGTTCCACCCGTCCTTCTTGGGGCCTTGTCCTCGAAACCCGCGTGCAACTGCCTTGGTTGCCTATACATCTGAAGCGTTTGCGGCCAGCAGGTGCTCTGCGAGGTCTTCGAGGAGAGGGATGAGGCATCTTTTCAAGAAACAAATGCGGACGGGACGGTCAGTGGTGGCAGATTCAGCAGCCTACTGACTGAAAGGACAGCTGCACCTGAACCCCGACATTCCTAAACTTCAAAACTAAGTACAGCACCCTCGCTGCAGGCGCGCAGCATCCGAGTCCACCAGGAGCCTGGCTGGGGTGTGGGGACGTGCAGAGGTTCCCTGCAAGTGGATCTGGCTAGCGGCTCATGCCACGGGTCTTCATTTCTTGACATGTGTTTTTTTGTCATCTTCACTCACATCGTGGCCGTCCAACGGGTATCAGCGAGACTTCGAATTTTCCACCGAAGGGTTGCGCTGCGTTGATGAGCCTTTCACTTTCTCGCGATGGAAATCAAAGGCTTGAAGACCTACCGTGTCAGCGTATCTAGTCACTGCCTCCTTTACCAAATGCCACTTGCTTCCTTCAGCTTCTGCACGACCTGAGTGACTCCATGAGGAGATTTTCGATGGACTTGTCACTGAGCCGCAATGTGTGATGTATGCGCCCGATCGCTTGGGCTGATGCGACGACGTCTGAAGCTGACAAAGGACATCCTGCTTTTCCGGGTCACCCTCTTCCGGGCCGACGGTGATCACCAGGCACTGAGCAGGGCTCGTGCTCCTCCTCCTCCTCCTCCTCCTCCTCCTCCTCCTCCTCCTCCTTCTCCTCCACTTTTTCTTCAACTTAGCGACGTCGACACCCCCAAAAAGACATCATGATGCTTAGGCATATTGGTCCGACCAGGCGTTGTATTCGCGATAGGACTGCGCATATTGGTACATACTGTAGTCCGTCGTCATCTAGCAAAGACAGCGAAGGAATGCTGGTAGCTGCAGTGGCTCTTCCAATCCCTGCGGGATTCAGTGACACTTGCCGAGAGGCATGTTCAGCGTCTCGGGCAGGTGGCCAGCCTGAAGTTGCGTAACGAGCAGCTCGAGGAGGGCGCTTCTTGTGGTCAAAGTTTCTTAGGATGTGCAGATGACTCAGATGACCAGAGAGAGAAGAGAACAGAGAATCATAAACGGAAAGGCACATAGACTCCCTGAAGCACGAAAGATCGGCCCTTCTCTTGACCTGTTGTTTTACAGTGCATCCATTGTTGAGGAGTTTGACATGTCTCCCACGAGGCAAGCGGCGCGAGACAGCACCTGAAGCCTTGGTTATACTGTTGGGATCGCTTGACTGAATTTGAATGCACCGGCCACGTTAAGGGCAGTTTGTCAAGGCAACTGCAGGGCCAGGTGGCTTCCACGTAAGCTCCAGCAGCAGGCATCTCCACTCCTTCGAGGAACCGTCATGGCGGTTTCCAATTTCGCCTTTGGCCAAACGCGGCTTTGTTGCAAAAGGCTTCTGCGTGGGTGTACCGGTTCGGCTAGGTCTGGCAGTACACCCGTCTCTCACATGTACATGCAGTGAGTACAGCTGCATTTGATACCAAGTGCTTGCGGGCATGATCAGGAGCAGTTCTGTGTATTGTACACAGCTTCGGAGCCGGCACATGCTGTGCCAATATTCGCAATTTTCCCGCCCGCCCGCCCGATGGGAAGAGCTTCTGCTGCCTATAGGTATTACAGGCATGTCCCAGGCCCGATGAGGAACAAGAATAGAGAGCCATCTTGTGCATAATAATGCGTGAGATTTTCAGGTCCATGGGTCTTAACTTCCGTAGGCCCTTCTAAGCCTACGTCTGGACCGGACATGGCAGAGTCAGACGTCAGGGCCTAGGCTCGTTGTGCTGAAGTTCGCTGCAAAGGAATGTCAACAACGCCTGGCTCACGACTCTTCATTTACACCGGCGTGCCCTACATCCCTGACGAGGTCCGAGCCATGCTCATCCATCATGGACACGTTGCCGTTGCTTCCACAAAGGCGTTGATCAAACAGCCGTAGTTACTCGAGCAACTGGAGTGGATACAACTCGCAAGAAGGTGTGCCCGGATCATGTTTCTTCGCGTTTCCGTCTAAGCGTACCGCCTTGAGAAGCCCTCCACATTCAATGTGCAAAATCATGAACCATCGGCATGCGAGGCGACCTGCAAAGGCGAAACCTCGGAAGCACCGAGGCTGGCAGATCTAGAGAGTTCGATTGCTGAGTCCCTGAGCTTTTGAGATTTTGGGTTTGGGAGCTATGGACTCCTTCGGGGCTGGGATATGCTTGAGCTAGCTTCCTGTCTCAGGTTGACGTCGGGGAAGTTGGTTTTGCCTTGGTTCTGATTAGGCTGTTTCTGCCCCCAATTCCCGAGACGAAAGGGGCCTGGAATACAGCTGGACAGACATGTTCGTTTTCCTTTTTGTTGTATGTTGCGCATGGTCTTAACAGCAGTACCCGGCTTTGTGTATGGCAGGCCTACTGTTCAATGTCCTCTATATCGTAATACCGCTCTAGTGTCCCTTAAACGAGCCCTTTAAAGGGAACCCTATTCTAAATATTAAGGCCCCTGTGCCATAGTATCCCCCTCCAGTATCCCTTCAAGGAGCCCTTTAAAATGAACCCTATTCCAATTATGAAGGCCCCTTTTTTTTAAGTCCCTCACTTTGGAGCTCCAGGTCTCCCAGCGGCCCGGGCACCGAGGCCGCGGCCAGCAAAAAACCTTTGGCTCGGGGAGTTTCCGAAAATAGGGGACCGACTATAGCATAGCACCCTAAAAATGAGTAGGGTCCTTATTAGAAGGACTCCAACATGAGGTACCCCTTATAATTTTCCGAAACTCCTAGATGGCTTGTCCACGGAACTCAAAGTTGGGGGTGAATCGTGGTGAGGTTGCTCCACAATCTGCAGACCTGAATGCTGTATCGGGTAAAAGATCTGATCGAATGCTCCATGTGAAGAAGAGTTACAAGTCAACAAACCATCCTTGCAAGCACGGCTGAGGTGCAGCACCCAGTGTTCTACAATGAGAAAAGCCTTTGTGATCCTCCGGAGGCGAAGCTGTGGAAGCGACCACTCATCGAATCCGTCTCCTTGGCCAGCAAACTATTTTGTCGCGAAGTGTAGTCCAGTGACAGTGTTCGCAATGTTCTTCCACAAGTTGCTGGGTGGCCTTGTCCAGCATATGCGTTTAGGACTTTCCTGCTGCGAGGTAGTGGTGGTCGGCGACTTTTGTGACCCTCTTCGACGCCCAGCCCACTGAAACACCCAGAAGTGGGTTGGTGTTCGAATGTCAGAAGCAAAGGTCCTTCTGGCATAGTCTCCTAAAGCCCACAGTGTGGGGCTCTGGCATCAACAAAGATATGCTGCACAGCAAAGCTACATTGACATAAGATCCACCCAATCGCAGTCATGGCCAGAAGCCTCGCCGGCAGCATAAAGCCATTCGTACGACGAATAGTCGTGCTGCTCGTCATCGATTGGCTACGGCTTGGCAAGAGAAAAAGCATCACATCAGCCTGAAACTCCACGAAGCTACTAGTAGCACGGGTTATCGGCGTCCTGCTACTAAAACATGCTCTGTGTTGATGACGCAGGATAAGGCCTTCCCCGTGAGTAATCCGTTACCGTGAAGTTCGGCATTGGACGTCAAGACAGGAGTTATAGTGTCTCGCACTGCCCAGTTATTGATCTGATTCTAGCCCCAGGTGCACGTATACTCGATGGTTTGGATACATCTTGCGGCGAGACTCACAGTCGGCCAAAGCTGATCCGGACCTTCTCTTGGGGACCCGAGGTCCAGTGGGTCCACACCTGCCAGAATCCCGAGGCAGGGGAGCTTTTCAGGGACTACTATCCCACGTTCCTTGTGTGAGGTTCTGGGTTCATCGATTTGGGTGCCCGATGTATAGCACTCTGATTCTGAAGCATGTTCTTAGAAGCAAGTGCATTTGAAGGGTTCTCAATATCTCTCCGGGGGAAGTTGTGGCATTTGCACTCCTGCAGGGCATGTAGCTTTGTAAAAAGCATGCGCGCAAGCTAAACCAACACCAGCACAATATGTACCGACAAGCCGGTCAAACGTGTAGGGCATGCTGTTGGGCGAGCTTGTCGCCCGTTTAGGCCTTCCGCCACCATGGGTTGCTTTTCTGCAATTCTATGCAGCCGGCGTTCAGGTCCTCCACGCCATCCAGGCCCACCATGCGCAGAATCCAGGCAGGGAAGGTCTTCCTGGAACGGAGCCTTAGAGACATTGAACGCTTGAGAATCGTAAGCGCTCTAAGGCGAGTCGGGTTCAAGCCGCAGCTTGAGCATGATTGACAGGCATCTTACTTGCCGGCCGAAACTTCCTGAATCAGCAACTCTTTTTTTGACATTGAAAAGCCAACACGGAAACCATCCATCTTCGCCTTAGCCGGAAGCCTCAAACCGTTTTCATGGTGGCATACCAGTTCGGGAGAGCTGGCTTGGCTGGAGCCTCGGCTTGATGTGGGAAGAGCAGGTCGTCAGCGGCGACACTTGCCCCGAGGCTTAGGTCACTCGGTCTCAGGCCTGAGAGCTGCAACGTGTCTTGCTGCATCCGATGACCTTCAAACCATGCACCCGAGCTAAACAAGCAGGAGTCAGGCAGAAATTCCGCCAAATTCAGCCGGCCCTTACGTGCGATATCCGAAGTCCTCTTGCCATTTTTTTGACATTCAAAGGATGCTGGCCTAAAGCCGTGCTGCCGCGCTGGCAGCCCTTCAAGCTACACGACAGGCGGCCTCCAAGCTTCATATTATATTATTATATTGTTATATTATTGTATTATGGGGCTTCAGAGCTCGCCGGAGAGGGTCATGAAACTCAGAAGAGGCCAGCAGAAGCCAGCATTCTTCTTTCGTTAGGCTGTGGTATATACCTTTAATATAGCTATTATATACCCATTATATAGCCCATTATAGGGTAGGGGTCCCCATTAAGGGTCCCTCCCTTATTCCACTGTCTCCGAGGATGGCTCTGGCCTGCGGATACAGCACTGCGGCCCCGACCAGTACAGAGTCGAAGGAGGACAGAACAAGTTGTGTTCCGAACTCCGTGGTTCTGCCGTCTGTATGTTTGCATGTCCTGTCTATCAGATTGCTAGGTTGGCAGGGAAGCATTGAGGTATTTCTGTGCAGATTCTGAATGAAGCACAGCTGAAGCTGACACGGTCCCGATTCAGAAAGGTGCCGCCCC